CCTCCCCTTTTTGCCAATTGACTTTTTTTTAAAAAAAGTCATCTCGCTTGTAAGCTGCATCAGAGACACCAGGAGAACCTGTTATAAAACCGATTTCTGGCCCCACCCCGAAGGCGTCTGAGCTAGTGGCTGTGTCAGTCTTTGGCTCTCTGGTTACGCCGGTATTGCTCATCCCAGCTCCCTTCTTTGGGAATCTCGGGTCTTAGCTTATTCTGTCAGTTCATTCTCCCAGGGCTTCAGTTTTCTGGATTTCATGTTTCTGTTGGATCTCGGTGTCCTCAGCTTTCATTTTCCTCTTCTCATGGAACTATGCTATAATTCAAAATGTTTTCTTAATCTGATTTTATCTAAATGTTACTTAACACCTTTAATTCCGATTTTTAAAAGCTCATTTTACTGGGGTTTCCCTCCTTTTCTAAAAAGCAGTTTTTAAGAATGCAGTGCACTTTTATTAACTGTGTCACTGTGTTACACAACAGAGCTCTTGAACTTCTCCTAGCTGGAAACATTTTAGTGAATGTGAACTATGCAGATTATTGGGCTACATAGTGACATTTCCATACATGTAGGTAACATAGCTTAATCCTATCCACCTCATCACCTTTCCTATCCTTCCTTCTACCAATCCCCTTCCTCCTGTCTAGTAATTTTCCCATCCCCTTTCATGACTAAAATTTTGTATCCTGTTACTAACATCTCAACCCCTCACAAGTAGTTTATTTAACCATATGACAGACATTCTTACTTACCCATTCAAAAATCATCTCACCCTGCCTCTTTCCTGTTAACCCCTGTTTTGCTGAGGTACTAGGTAGTCACATGCTCCCTGAGCCCCTCAAGTCTTGGGAGCAACTTTCTTTTGAGACAGGGTATCTATGTTGCCTAGGCTGAGCTCAGACTCCTGGGCTCAAGTGATCTTCCTGCCTCAGCCTCCTTCATGGCTGGGACAACAAGGGCACTATTACGCCAGTAGAGAGAGGAGGCTCTTGAGTAAACTAAACCAGTGAAGTAATTCCACTGTCCTAGCCAGTGACTGGCTTAAAAACAGTGATGAAATGTGCAGAGATGCCAGGGATGTCTGGGAAAGTCTTTCTTATAACAGAAATTGAGGACATCACTTTTCCAGAATTCAGACATCATGGTGTGAGGCTTTGATCCTCTGAAGATGTCTGTCCACCAGGCATCTCGGAGGGATCCAGCCTGAGGACCAGCGTTGTCTTGGAGACGGCAGGACAGACAGGTGGCAAGAGCCCCATCCCTGAGGAGACTCAGCCTCTGGGCCCAGGAGCCCTGGTTCCACCTTCTCTCCAGACTCCTGTTATGTGAGCTCCTTTGTTGTTTAAACATTTAAAGTTAAGTTTTCTGCTACTTGACTCCAAAAGCATGCTAAATGATACTAGATATTCTAGCTGTGAATAAATGAAGCTAGTTATCCAAGTTACTTTTTGTTTTTGTTTCTGTTTTTCTTCCGCTACCAGGAATCGAACTCACGACCTTGCGCTTGCCAGGCAGGCACTGTGCCGCTGAGCTAAACTCCCATCCCCTATCCAAGTTTCTTAAAGTATGATTTTATTTGTTGGTAAATATTTTGGGGTATATATCTCATAATAAGTTCCTTGAGCTCAGGAGTCATGACATTTTATCTGGAGCTTTCATAAGATCTTGAATGTCACATTGTTTGAGAGAAGAAATGAATTAGGTCCTTCCTTAAACGTTAATATTTGCTTTGTATCAGGTTTTTGCTAATGAGTGGGGACATTAGAAAGAAATGGAGAAGGTAACACTTTTGGTTGTCCCCAACAAAACAGGGCCTCTGACCACCTTGAGAGAAGGGGGCTTTCTGGGAGGGGTCCGTGTGGATGGACTACATGGCCTCAGGTTGGGGTCGGATCTCTCTGTCTCTCCTCATCTGACCCGAGGGTCCTCTCTCATGAGCCTTTCCTCCTTCCTCTGTGTCTGTGACTTCTAGATGGCACAGAGCAAGCTACCATTTACTACACTACCTGCCGCCCTTCTAGGGACAAGGCCCTTGGACAGGCCCACTCCTTGTGGGTCACTTGACAGCTTTGATTTAAGTGCCACTACTCCAACCAGTGGCCACTTCGGGACAATAAAATATCCTGGTGGGTCTTCCCTGAAACTGTAAGAAGTTGGCAATGTAAGGTACTTTTACTCTCACAGTACAAGGATGATTTAGAAAATGATCCTGAAAGGAAACACAGGTGGTGGGATAGTGGCTGAAACTTTTATTGATCTGGGTTTTACAGTTTTTCTTTTAGGATCATGCAATACCTGAAAAATATTAAATGTATTAAAATATGAATTGGGCTGGGGATGTAACTCATTGGTAGAGCACTTGCCTAGCATGTGTGAGGCCGTGGGTCCCATCCCCGGTAACGCTCATGCATGCACAGATGCACGCAAACACACGAATTGTAAGTGTTTAAAAGGGCCGTACAGGCACATACTGAGTACAGGTTCCAGCTGAATAGTGTGAGTGATGAGGCGCTTTCCCTTTAGAGTGCCGAGCTCCATTTCAGAGTTGGCAAGTACAGATGACACCGGATACGCTGTGCACACCCCGTAGCCTATTTTGGTCCATTCCAACGTGAAACTGAAGTAATAAGCCTATTTGGGTTCCTGTCAGATGACTACTCATCTGAGTATTTGTGCTATGACCTCACTCACTGTGTTCTTAAATGAGCTCCCCCGCCCAAAGGGCAGCCTGTGCAAGGCGCTATTTCCATCTGCTCCCCACTTCCTAGTAGGTTGTAAGTTGTGCCCTCTAAATTGTAGCAAAGTACTCATTCCTCATTGGAAACCCACCAATGTCAAATGTGATTCTTTTAAAAGCAATCTACTTTATTACACAAGCAGGAGAAATAAAAGTTATTTAAGAGAGAATAATCTTCATGCAGTGGGCCTCCCAAAACACCGGTCAAGTTATGTTGCTTCTGCCTTAGAAACAGGTCTACTCATCGACTATAGCACTCAGCTCCACCTCCCCCTCCACGTCCAGGCCTCATCCTCACCTTGCTCTCCATCCTGATTTCCCACCCGATCTTCTAGACCCCACTTTCTAACCACCTGAGCTTGGCCTTCCCCGCGCAAGCCAGGAATCTCCAGACCTCTGTGTGTCAAAAACTCTTCCTGAGCGTGCCTGACAAAAAGTGACTAAAAGCCGCTCAAAAAAGGGTGAAATACTGTAGCCCTTTTCTGACACTTGAATAATTTTCTATCACTTTTTCCAATACTGTACCTTAAAATTGTGACGTTTCTACTTCTGCTTTCATTAAACCAGTGTCTAGAGTATAGAACATACTCACCCAGCCATGCATGTAGCTCAAAGACAGCCACAGTGC